AATTCAACAAAGGAATATGACATCGTGAGGATCAATCATGAACATGCGTCAAGCAAAGTCAAATGATGAACATGTATTAACAATTAAGTAAAAGCAAGTTCGATGCGCAACAGATCATTCATCAAGAATATCATGCATATCCAACACCAATTAATCAATCAAACAAACATGCATTTGCGGAAACGGAGACATACATGAGTATGAAACACAAATCCAGTGAGATGAGCATCAATGATCAGCAACTGACATGGTATAAACAGTTATGCAACATGATCATCACATCAAGAATGTAACACAACAATTAAAGATATTCAAAAATGAAAACCAAAAGTCACGCGTCGAAGAATCACAAGCATGCTATCAAGTATGATGAAATAGATCAAAAACAGTCCACATATATGCATCATATCAATCCATGAAGATTAGAAATGGAAAGGAATCAAATCAAGCTTGAAAATGCAAAAAATAATCACATTTTGCATCGGTGTTAATCGATTAACCATTTGTAGTACAAAAGTGGTTAATCGATTAACCCTATTTGAAAAGCCATAAAACTTGAAATTAACACTAGTTAATCGATTAATCAGTTTTGCACTGCAGCTGGTTAATCGATTAACACTGATGTAATAGCAAAAAATCACCAATTTAAAAGTACTTTTCAGCAATTAATCACTCATGTATCCATCCACATGCTTAAGCAATCAAATATGCACAAATGTTATACCAAATCAAAACAAGCAAACATCAATTGGATCCAACAAACACCAAAAACAATTATCAAAACAAGTAATGGATCAAATATCACCAAAAAGTCAAGGATCTACATTGTGAAATAAAAGATTAAGCAAAATTAAAACTAGATCTAGGATTTACCAACCTACAAAGCTGAGATTTTCTTTGGTGAGTGTTGTTAAACTGCAATTAACAGATCCAAGCAATAAATCCAAGGATCTATGAAGCTCTAGCAGTAGAACTTGAAGATCCAAGCAATAATCAACGAATAAGCAAAAGCTCATTCAAAAGTGATTCCAGCAACTTAATTCAAGATCCAAATGAACTTCCACACCAGAATTGAATCAAAGATGAAGATGCAATGGAGGTTTAGCTCAAGAATTCATAAATTGCAATGAACAATTTGTGAAGCTTTTGGCTATGGAGCTTTGGTGAGGGTTTGAGAATGAGAGAAAAGTTGAGAGAATTGAAATGAGATGTGTAGAAAAAATCAGAAAATGAGTGAAAATTATTAGAGGTTTGGAGTGAATCCGTTTAAAGAATCCCTAGGTTATGAATTAAAATGTGGCTTGGAGTGTGGGTTAGTGTGAGGAATGGAAATTATGAGTGGAATTAGGAATGGAATGTTTGGAATTTGGAGGGAATTTGAATTAATTGGAAAATAAATCAAATTTGAAACCACTTCTAGATCCTTCTACTGGTGTGAGAATTGAAATTAAGTGATTGAAATTGAGTTGAAATTCTACAGTGTTGAAAAATGAACATTCTGGGCAAATTTTACACTGGTTAATCGATTAACATTTGGCTATGAAAAAAGTGTTAATCGATTAACACATAGAAAATTTGAATTTCTTGGCGCCACAAGGAGGGAAGTCGGGGGAATCGCTCGTTCTCACCCGTTCTGAGCATAATTTAACCTTTAAAACTTGTCTTTTGATATTGCACCTGTATAATGCCTGGAATAAACTGTGATTTGTCTCGTGCGCTCAAAATACCCTGCTAAAAAATATAATCCGGTACCCGATCGCTGAACAAAATAACCGCTGAACCCTCTAATGCTTGCTGCTTACAAACTTGCAATAAAAGAAAACCTTGAGCCATAGAAACACCTTGATCCCATGTCTCAAGAACCAATGCCATGATATGCATAGTGATGCAAATGAACGACATAGAAGTTAGTTACGTTAAAACGAAAGGGTAAATTTTGAGGTGCTACACATGTGACAATGAGGGACATGTTGTTGACCTTTGTCAAGTTTATGTGATTTAATTTATACACATGATAAAATAACTTATGTATGAGTTTAATAACGTAATTTTTGCCAATCAATTGATATTTGTTCTTAATTTAAATTTTTTAGAAAATATTCAACATATATTAATTTTAAAGACATGAGAACATAATTTTTTTTCACGTTTTTTAATTGAAAAACCTAAAATATAATGAACCAAACTTTCTAAGCACATAAATGTGCTATGAAAACCTTAATTGATTTAGCTTATAGTAAAAGAAAAACTTGTACCCTAGGTTTGAACAACTAAGAAGATACTAATTTGGTCTGATAAAACATAATACTTTAACCAAACAACATTGTTTTTAATAAGCATAATTTTTTATATTTCCAAGGGTATTAGGGGTACCCGAATCCATTTATAATCAATCCCCTACTAAACTATCAATCAACCAAATTACACTAAATGAACAAATAAAGAAACTTGCACCAATCATAGTAATTAAAAATAGACAAATGTTTGTCTTTCTCCCCAATCCACCACCAAGATAAAATGATTGTTCTATGCAACACCAATTCCAAGTATAAAACCTCATAAATAAACATTATTTGGTTTCTAGAATACCAAATACATCAACACACTAATATCCAAATTTCAACCGCATTATCTACAACTGAAGCTTTAAGTTTGAGTCTCTCAATCCAAACGAACAAATGTTCAAAATACCCTTCAACCTGCATATGAACAATCCCAAGTCATGCACACACCAGACACCATACTCTTCTACTTATGGAACAACTGAACAATAAATTTCAAATTTCTTCTGCTAAGTTAAAACACAAGGCACACACTAGTTCATGTTTGTTTGATGTCAAACCCATCCTAATAAGATTATCCCTAGTAGGAATCCTATTCAAGCATAATCTCCAAGAAAAGAATCTTTATTTTCAAATATGCTAATGCATTCCACAATATCTTAAGGGCGAGCTTGCATTCAACATCCAAAGCCTCTTCTACAACTTGGAAAACAAGCCTGTCATAACAGGACTTCACAGGAAAACATTTTGATTTACAAAACGGCCATACAATTACATCTTCACACCTTCTTCTAGGACAAACTTCCCTCAGCATCAAAGATACCTCATGATACTCCTGTTGCAAATCCATATCAGTCTCTTCCAAGAGTAAATCTAATCGCTGGGACCAAACCACCCCATTCCAGAATCCCATGTCAGACACGACTCCTAATTTGTTATTAGTTTTATGCCATAACCCAGGAAAAATGGATGCAATGGGCCAATTTCCAATCCACCTTGACAACCAAAATAAAGACTTAGTACCATCACCTAGTTTGAAGGATAGCATATCAACAAAAGAGTCTTCCCCACAAAGTTTGTCCACTATAAAGATATCCTTTCACCAACTTGAGGAACCACAATGGTACTTATGAATTTCACCAGACATCAAAGCTTTCTTAAAATTACCATATCTCCCTACTAGTATTTCTTTCCAAATGACCTCCTTATTTGTTAGAAGTCTCCATATCATTTAGAAAGTAATGCCATGTTGAATAGACTTAAGTCCTTCACCCCTAAACCCCCTTCCTCCTTGGACCTACGCATTGGGCTCCATTTGACCCAAGCAATTCCTCTATTAACCTTTGACCCTAACCAAAGGAAGTGCCTTTGGATAGCCATCTGTTTCTGCATCACCTTTGTTGGGACCTTATCAAAGGCAAATAAAAGAGCACACACAAATTGGAAAGAACTGAGTTAATAAGGGTAACTCTACCCCCCATAGACAACAACCTGCCTTTCCAACTAGCCAATCTAGACTTCATACAATCAATGACTGGATTCCAAAAATATATTCTCCTACGATTGCTTCCCACACATAATCTTCCATTAAATACCAAAAAGAGTGCTTTTATCAAAGTTAATCTTCAACCCCGAGATAAGTTCAAATCCCATCAAAATTGCTTTGCTAGACCACATATTAGATCAAATCCCTTCACAAATCAACACAATATCATTTGCATACTGTAATAGATTGTATGAGCCACCCTCACCAATATTGAAACTATTTAACATGCCCCCCACAAATGCTCTATTGACAAGAATGGACCGTCCTTCTTCACAATTGAGAAAAGATATGGAGAAAGGGAGTCACCTTGTCTAAAACTCCTAATAACCTTAAAATCATTTGTTGGACTACCATTAACTAAAACAAACATATAGTTGTGCATAACCCCACCATGCAACTTAAACAAACTTAATATCCATCATGCATAACCTTCTGATCCAAAGAGAAAATAGTTGATCATGTGACAAAGCATTTTGATATAAAGCATATGCCCAATTCTAATAACCTTAAACTACCTAAAACCAATCAATACAAAAATATTAGTTTTTTTTTGTAATGAATTAATTCAATAAAGCTGGGACTAGAAATGGAGTCCCAAAACCACCAGAACAGCACTGCCAAAAGGCAGGAAAATAGCAAAAGCACAAACTAGATAGACACTAACCTTAAAAAAACCAACTAGTTACAAAAAAAAAAAAAAAAACAATGGCATCTTGTGCCACTCATACAAATTACATTTAACTTTTTTTTTCTCTCTATCTAATTCCTTTCACCTCCAAGAAAAATGAATATGAATAACTCTATGGAATATATCTCTTAGAATAGCCACTAAATCATTAAAAAAAATTAGTTTATGTAAGTTATGTGAAATTACTTCACAAATTTCATTAAAGTTCCTTTTCTTAGAGTCCAATGGAAACTGAAAAGGTTATTTTAATTTCCTGCAGAACCATATCTCAAAAAAATTCAAATAAATACATATATAAAAGTAACTAAACATTAGGTGCAAATATTAATAATCCAAAAGTTGGAAAATATGCACTAATAAAAGATGTACTAATTGTTTAACCAAAATGGTTTATTGCTTTAATAATTGAAAACTAACCATCCAATTTTATACATTTTCACATAAAATGAGCTACTCAAATATTTTCAATGAATAAACAAGATATTTAACATGGTGCAAATCTATCCATAAGCAAACATATTGTTGACTCAGATATTGCTGTTGTGTTCTTTTGAGTTTTCCATCTCTCTTCTTTCTCTTGCTCATATCCTTCTTTAGATTTAGTCTTGTTGATGAGAACTTTCTCTTTGAGTTTGGCTAGCTCCCCGATCCATACCTCTACCATACTTGACATTTTTCTCACTTTTATAAAATTAGCAAAATGAAAGTTTTCTTTTTTTTGAGTTTATTTTTTGAATGATAGATGTAAGAATAATAATAATAGAACTATATTATGGTTTATATAGAGACTAGAAATAATGAGAATATTCATTTGGGGTGAAAGTGTATTCTTATAAGAAAGGATATGGATGTTTTGGATCCTCTTATATTCAATAGTACGTGGAAAGGAATACACCAATGGGATATTCGTTACAAAATTTTATTGGTTTGCTTATTTATTTATATTTTCTATTTCTTGCGTATTACTTTTTACATTTGTGGTGTATATTCACTCTCACCATCTTCTCATTTATTGGTTGCTTATTACTTGGATAAATTATTTTTTAGTATTTATAAAGAAAAAATATTTTTATCTGAATTTTTTATGTAATAAAAAATTCAAGACCTTATATTTATAAAATATTATAGTTGTTGGATTTAAAATTTTAAAATTAATTTAAATGTTTTGAAAATTTTTAATTTTATTGTTAATGTACATTGATTTTTTTTACTATATTTTATAGCTGTATATTTAATCTCTATTGAAAAATTAGTTAATATCAACTTATGTTCTTTTATGTATATTTAACCTTTTAAATTCTTAATATATATTTATTCTTAATTTTTATCGAGTAAATAAATTAAAGCTCATGTTAATTATATCATCAGTAAATTTATCGTCAAAATAAAAGACATAATTCATATTTGTCTAGTTAAATTTGTATTGCTATTTGTTTCTTCAAGTTGAATAATTTTCAAATAAAATTGTATTATTTAATATTACATAAATCCACATATGCAAGATCCACTTGTTCATTGCAAAATTAGCAACAATATACATTATATTTTCTAATTTGTCCTTCCATTATTAAGAGAGATGCTATTGATCTTTTAATTATTCTCCTAATTATTTTTAATAAGGGTAAAAATTATTGAATAAATAAATAAAAATAAAAATTACGAGGACACAAAACCTAGTCTATTAAACAAATTAGAAGAAAAAAAATAGTTAAACATATACAATTTATCCCTTAAAAAATTTGTAATGGTAATTGAAAAGACTCATAGGGGTGAGATAAAGACATATGCTATGCTCTTCCTTCTTTTTAAGTAACCATTTTCTCGGTTTGAGCACCCATCTTTTAAATATGGCGCCCCTTATTTGGTTATGTCGCCCAAATTCTCTAGGACTTCGTCCATGATGTGTGATCGTGTTAGTAATGTGTATTGGGTAAACAAATATTACATTAGAAATCGTGGAATTAACTACGCTCACTGAATTTCAAAGAATCAACTATTCATTTTTAGAGTGTTCTAATATCTAATGAAAAATACAAGAATTTATCAAAATGAGTGAGCTTTTATATGCGTATTGAAAAATCTGGTTATCCACATGCTGGCTATGGAATCTAAACCAATTGAATCCGCAACTTCCCCTTTCTTGTTTGATCTGTCTTAGGGGCAGGTACTGGCCACGATTCTAGATTGTATGATCTACCAAAGCATTAAAATCATAGAACAAACAAGTGGCTTACAACCTTAATCCTCCACATAAGAGTAAGATACATCCAGTCCCGATCGAAGGAAACCATAACACCCGGGATGAATCCTCAACCTCTACCAAGCTAGCATGCATGCCACTTAAAAATCCTTTGATTCTGTTCACACATTTTTTAGCTTTTAAACCATGAAGATGGGGACATTTTTAGATGCAAACCTATAGTTTTGCTGCTTGTAATAAAATTTGCATCAACTCCGTTGCAAACTGTTAAAGCTAAGTTGTTATGATTCTATAATTCATCTTTGTTTTATTGATTCAAAGCTTAGGAATTTACAACCAATATAATATGCAATATGTAGGATAGTTGGAAGTTGGTTGAGTTCTAAAAAACTCCCAACTAATTTGAACCAACTTCTAACTGTCAAAACTAACTCAAAATGACAGTTTGCAAAATCTCATCCATGACAGATAAATATTGATAGTAGATATACATATTATTTGTAAGAGTGTTGGTATATGGCACAACAAATGCCACACCACGAATTGCACGATACATGTTACTAGTAGTTAACTTGTACTAATTTTTCAAAATAACGTACAAACCATGATACAATAAACATTTAGCCATGTGCGCGGTACATTTTCAAAGATCAATGAAAAGGCAGACACAAATAAAAGTGTTTGTGAGTGATCTCATAAACAAAAACAGTTGCAAAACTATATCAATAATTGAGTAAAATCAAAGTGAAAAGAGACTTAAATGACATTTAAAAATTTATTGGTACAATTGACACGAATAAGTTGTCATGCAGTTTAGCATTTTTATATTTATAATTCTTAAATCACCTATTTGATTTGAAGTCCTTTGATTCCACAAATAGAGAGATATCATAACACTGCAAATTAAAAGCAAATTAAAAGTGTGGATTAGTCCGGAGGAGTTTTTTCAATAAAAAAAAAAGTAATAATTGATGCAGTTGCCTCTTATTCATATCGCAAAAAGAAACCTTAACAAACTAACTATTAAATAAGCTATGTTAACTTACTAAATTGTATCTTATGCAAAGAATTTGAAACAGTAGATAACATTGTTATATGACTGGGCGTGCTGGAGTGGTCATCAGAAATGACTAGAAACATGTCAGCTTTTGCCCCTGCAGGTTCGAATAGTGTCATCCACGGTTTTGTTTTTCATCTTTATTTCTTAATAACCATGCTCTGTATAATTTCTTTCCGGTTGCTGTAAACTCCTCATATTTTCCTAGCTTTTTTTGGATTTAAACTAATTATGCTAATAGCTCATTTTAGAGGTGTATGTGGATTGGATTTTTGTAATTTAATTAAATATAATATTCGACCCAATTAGTATTTTTTGAGTTCGATTGAGTGTTCAATCCGTATTTTTAAGATTAAACTCGAATCAAACCAACCCGCTTCATCAATGGGTTGGAGTTGTGTTAGGTTCGCGGATCACCCATTAAATATAATTTTCAAATTCTAAACAAAATATCAATTTAATTAACACATTTATATTAAAAAAATATTTAAAAAATCATAAGATTTTAGTATTTAATTTGAATAAAATTTATTAGTTAATACCTAAAAACTCTTTTACTATTTATAAAAAGTTAAAAAAATATATAAATGGTGTAAAATATTATTTAAAAGGTAAGATATTTTTTTCTTTGAATAAATAAAGTTGATCTCTCAAATTTGATTTAAATTTAGACTCTTACCATTAATAAAAACTATAATTATATTAAAAAATATATGTGTTGTAAGAATTATGCGAGCTAATTCATAAAAAAATAAAATAAAAATAGTGTAACATATTAATGGACTGTGTTGCGGTGAGAATCAGATGTTAAGCTATTAATTAACTTGAATCTTAATTCATTGAAATTCACCACCGAGCTTTGATTTATCCAAAGGAAAGGTTAAAGAAAGAAAAATCCTTTGCGCGATGTAACAACAACACTAGAGTTTCGGGGGTCGGGGTTGGTAATACCTAAGGTGGTTCTCACATCCTAAACATTTGTAGTACTCTACATGGACCTTTTGTGTGTATGTATGCTAAGTGTTGCACCCTAATTTTTGATCGTGAGATCCCCCCTCTTTTTGCGCATTCTTCTATTATTTGACTTTATTTTAATATTTATGTTTTTTGCGACTATTACTACTAATATTATATTTATCATATTTATTATTATTATTATGTTATCTATTTTATTTACTAACATTACTTTCACTCTTAGAGCTCTTTCTCCTCTCTTTTTTCGGGGCCATTCTGGGACCCTTCCTTTGAAGGCATGTCGGATGGATTGTTGGTCATCATCTCTTGGAAGTCCATATGGGGCTATAATTGATCAAGTGAAGCGTTCTGAGTTCAATTGGCGCAACTCATTTGAATTAAGCTTGCGAGCACGGAAACCAGGAGGTCCGCTTATAAGGGGGTTCCTTGAAGTTTATACTCGTTTCGGATAAATTATTAGTGGTGGATGCAAGAGTGTTCGACTCAAGGAAAATTTCTCCAATTTGCATTTTTGGGATCTCAAGTTTGTTTCTTCAGAAGGTTTAAGTCGGAACTCTAGTTTAGGATTCGAATATTATGAGCTCTAGTCACGATCAAGCTATGACACCAAGTACAATTCATGACTTAAGTTTCTCATCATTCGAAGGATTTGAGTTATAAAGAGTTTTCCTATTTGGATCAATTTTATTTTTTAAAGTCAAGGTGGATTGATAAGAAACCACTTGTCCTCTACAAAACAAGGTCAAAAGTATTTATGAGCCGCTACATAATGCTGAAGGTAAAACTCAAGTGCAGCCCAAGTACAAGTTAGGAATTTATTGCAAGATTAATCATGGATTCTTGATTCGCCATTTAATACAAATATTAAGGTGAGAAACGCCTCACAAGAATTACAAGAAGTACAGCTTGTCCTAAGGTACAAAGACTGTCCCCAACGCACATACAACATGATTATATGGGCCATAGGATTTCTTGAGCAGAACAAGAATGGCTTTAAACAGGTATATCTATGCACAACACTTCATAACTCCAAGTTGCTGCCAGTTTGTAAACTCAACCGCATTATAATTCATGCTTCCACGATGGCGACAACAACTTAATTATCTTGAACCTTGCACTTGGGAGGGGCCAACACGTACCACCACTTTACCGCTCTTAAGAAACCCACGCCATATCTGCGACAAGGAATAGCCGTTTCCTGCAAATCAAACGCAGATGCAATTAATCGACCTTCGGAACACGGCAACGTTCATTGAAGAAGGAATTCACAAACACAGAATTATATACAGCATCACCTCCAACTATGACAGCTGCGACATAACAAATACAATGCAACAGTCTTCACTTTATCACAACTCTGTCCGGAAGCGAGATGTAAATGCATCGGAAAACCGTCCACCTTCGTCCTCTAGAAAGTCAGCTGCACAAATCAAAACAGCAG